ATTTCTTTGTATGTATGGATCACTTGGGTTGTTACCGACATCTGGTGAAAATTTCATGTCATTAGCACCTCTAGTAATATGTTTACTGAGAAAAACATTGACGTGTTCAATACTTATTTTACCCGCTGTATATACTGTATGTCTTCATAACAGATAACCAAAACAGTGAGGAAAACATGAAACCTAAAAAGAAAGTTATAATATTGTGTTCATGTGTGTGTCAGAAATATTAAAGCACTGTGTGTTACTGCTAACATGATTAAAATATTTCTCCTCTTTTTCCAATAGCAGTAARGCCCAAAGCACGAAGAAAGCTTTCCATGCCAGAGAGATCGACAGCATCCTCAACACATCATTTGGCTTCACAACAGCAGTCGGAAGACGACACGCATGTCAACAATTCATTGATTGAGTGTCATGAAGATGAATCAGAAATGAGCTTAAGTACTGTCGACATATCCAGCATGGAGGCAAGCYTGTCAAATGAAGGACTGACAAAACCTTTACACGTCAGAAAGGGAAATGTTTATAACAGAAATAGAGAACTTGAGAAGAGAACGGGATAATGCCCTTTCTCATGTGTCTAGGCTTCAGCAAATGTTGAACTGCTCTTCCTTGAGTGTAGACTACAAGAGAAAGAGAAAGACAACAATGATTTATGTCATACAGGGCTCTAGACTAACTTTTTGCACTGGTTGCACCAGTGCACCTAACATTTTTTCTTAGGCGCACCAGCACAAAAGTTAGGTGCACCCAAATTTTCAACCACATCGCATTTAACATCAGAGTTTTACAGGTTATTMTTTAATCACTGTTCATTAAGGCAACATGAACTCAAAAATAATCAGTTAACAATCTAGTAAGCGTGAAGTTCTTTATTTGAACCAGAATTGTACAAGACCTATAACTTACTGAAAAGTATTTAAAGTGATTCTATAAAATTATAATTGCAAATGTTTAAGGGCTAAACATATTATAAACATCTTAAACATTTCATGGTTATTATTTTTTTAGACACATGTCTCTCAGATGGACAACTCCTGTACTTTGGCCCTCTGGATCTTTGGCCTTGGATAAACCAGAATGATGAACAGAGAAAAATGGTTAATAACTTAAATATTACTGATATTTATTAAAAGGTTGTGCAGATTTTTTAAATAATAACACATAAAAGTCTGCAATTTCAGCATTAGTTGAATCTTATTATCTTATATTATTTCACTTAAATATCTAATATGTCTAGTCTTATCCTCCTGTGACCCAGAAGAACCTATTTCAGATACTTGGAATGTAACTGTGGTGAAGTCGATTATGTTTAAAAGCAGCCTGCCATACAGGTGAGCTCCTCGTCCTGCTGATATGATCTGCTGTGCTCACAGAGTAGACCCCGACTGTTAAATTAACAAGATGGACGAGCGAGCAACCGTCCACATCTTGTTCTCATCTCCAGCTAACAAGACAGAACTGTTTTTCAGACTCCGATCTGGGTAAAATAAAAATAAAAAAAACTGGTTGTTTTGCTATGTATGCGCCCGTGCGTGCGTGCGTGCGTGCGTGCGTGCGTGTGTGTGTGTGTACAGATTTTGCTTCATGGTGGGTACAATCATTGACCATTTCCCCGGTACACACAGCCTGGTGAGGTTAGGGTTTGGGTCAGGTGTGTAGCGTACCTGGAAGGTTATGGTTGGCTATAGAATTGACAGGGAAATGAATGGTAGCCAGTGCAAAGTCCCCTTAAGGATAGAACAACAAATGTGTGTGCGCGGGAGGTGTAGAGCGGAGCCCGCGAGCAGAGCACAGTGTTTGGAGAGATGAGACTGTCGGCGGGCGACCACTGATACTGCTGGATTATTTTTATGGAACATGGAAACTTTTTTTTTCAGCGGTCGACCGCTCCRCCTTGAACGACTGGTCGCACCAGTGCGACCGGACATTTTTTTAGTCGCACTATTAGGAAATCAGGTCGCATTTGCGACCAAATTGGTCGCACTCTAGAGCCCTGTCATAACCTAACTGGCATTTCCTGGGATGAGTTTGGATCTTTATTTGAATTGTCTGAAACAAGTGCTTGTTCAACAAACAAGAGCAGTATTCCACTAAAAGAACAGTTGTTTTTGATGCTTGTGAAGCTGAGGCAAAACATATCTTTTGACTGTCTTTCTCATGTTAAGGCAATTCCAAAATCCACACTAATTGGTTACTTCTGGCAGTGGATAGATATTCTGCATGCAAAGATTGGTTTTATGGTGCACTGGCCAGACAGAGAAGCTGTGTTTGAGACTGTGCCTTTGGTATTTAAGGAAAAATATCCTCGATTAACGACAAGAATCGACTTCTTTGTGATATTTATTGAGGCACCCAAAATTTTAAAAGCATGTGCACAATGTTACAGTAATTACAAGAAGCATTGCGTGCACTCCTTTGGGGGCTATCAGCTTTATATCTAAAGCATGGGGTGGACGAGCTTCAGATGTACAGATTGTGAGAGAATTGGGTTTTATCAGTCCCACATACCACTTTCCCAGTGATCAGATTTTGGCCGACAGAGGCTTTGCTTTGGCAGACGACTTTGCCACACTGTGCAGTGCGGAGCTCCTGACACCAGCATTTACTAGGGGCAAAAAGCACTTTCTATAGTTACAATAGTTATTCACCATGATATTTCACATTTGTCTTGACTTGTTCAACAATGAGTAGTAGTGCTAGCATGAAGCTGATAACCTCATTGCTATTTATCCTAGTAAAAACATGCATTTCATATTAACATCTCATTTAAAAACATCTTTTTAAAAAACATATTTTAAGAAGACTAATAAAAATCATTAATAAAAATATAAATGGAAGAAATTAACTTACGTGGACTTTTTATGAGATAGGTGTACATCCTTTTAGTTTAACTTGGGCCAGGCCATGGGGTTATTTACCCACATATCAGACATTTTTGGAGTCCAGACAGTTTCAGTTTCATACTGTACCGCTGTTGCGCATCAGGTGGTAAACTGTCCTCATATTCAAAAGATTTCCGTCCAAAAATATGTGTGCTACACAAAAATATTTGACTCGACTGTGCTAGCAAACAAAACGAATTTCAATGGTCTAAACCGCGTTGTTCCCCCCCACAAAGAAACCYGGTGTTGAAATCACGTGATGCGTGACATCACGTCGACCTCAAGACCTCGACACTCCGTTTTAACTGAACATTGTCCAGTTTTGCACCAGGAGCATCGTTTTCTCTTAAAATAACGTGAATTTCTGCATTCGAAAATGCAGAAATATCCATGTTAATCAATTTATTGTACTGTTCATTTTTCAGCATTTTCCCGCTGAGCGCATCGCCTCAAAAACCAGACGGCCAAAATTTCGACTCATTGGTTCAAAACAAAGAAAGACACTGAAACACACAATAAGGTAGGTAAACATCCAGCTTTATTACTCTTTGATTTGATATGTCGTAAATTTAAGCACATTTTCAACCAATTAAAATTCACATTTATTTTAGCATAAAATCCAAGTAAATAAAAAAGTTAATTTAATAAAAAGCACACAAAACGTAATTTTAAATGACAATTTATTGTAAATGACAAAATACTTTATTGTTTTTTCTTTGCAGTGCAGATACACAGAATGAGATCATCACAGACCATCACTCACAACAGCAAGAAATTTCTGGTGCTGCAGTTCAGACTTCAACTCTAGGTTGGCCTTTTTGAACCGCTTACTTTTGCACCAAGAACTGAACATGTTTGACAGGATTTTGAGTGTATTSTTTTTACCACCAGATCTTATCTTGGCTCTAAGGCAAAGTGTGTTTAGTTGCAAATCTCTCTTTTTAACACTGTTTTTTTGCAATTAATTAATGCATTTGGTGAAAATGATCATGCARAGAGTGATTGTACACACCTGATTTGAATGAATGAGTGATTAATAGGCTCCTGCATATCTTGAAAAAATAAATCAAACACTGAATTATGTGTGGCGGAGCAGGGAAACAAGTAAAACGTGCAGGATAGCTTCTTTTAAAGGGGATGTATCATGTAAAATCTACTTTTTAGCTGTTAAATGCTTTTAGTTGTGTACCTGAAGTCTCTAGGATATATGAGACAGCCTCAAAACGAGTTGATCTGAGACACACATCAGAAAAGGGGCGAAAAAGGGGCTTGTGGAGTTACAATAAAAAATTTGTAATTATATTTGCATGTTTCAGGGCCCGCCGGTCAATACAACATCTTCGATCATATGTATTCCACAAACATTGGATATGAAAGGCGAAACGTTTCAGCTCCGACAGTAAAACTGAAGCAACGTCAGAGGGCAACACCCAGACACAGACGACTGCAGACGAAACGTGATGAGAAATGCTCCGACACCTCAGTTTTACGTTTGTCAGAAACGAGGCCGCTGGGGTTCGGCACATATGGGGTGACGATTTCCCCGCAGGATGTTGGAAATTTGTGTAAGTTTATTTTCTTCATTTGAAACTTGGAACTTTGGGCCTCAGGTCTAAACTTCCACGAATGCTTTGACTGAATGATAGATTTTACTTTGAAGAGTCACAATTGGATCTTTTATAGTCACATTATTATCACCACATTCACTCAGGGTCACGTGTAAACACATTTTTTAAAAACATGTTGCATTTATAAGCATCACTGGTCAATGATTTTAAAAGGTGCAGGCCTTGAAAAGTAGAAAAATTTGCACCAAAACTACATGTTCTCCCGTCATCAGTGATTTTGTAACTATAATATTTAACAAATGACAGGATTAATGTGTCTATAATGAGTTTTTTTTTCACCTTAAACCATTTCCTATAACTTATCTGTTTGTTTCTTACAGTTGTCAAGCGGATGTTTGTGATCAAAACGGATCCTCCTGAGCAGCCGAGCAGGAGTCTGATTTTGGACCAGGAGGACCAGAAGCCCCCACAGATTAAAGAGGAGATAGGGGAGGTTGATGTCACAGATTTCATATCTAATCCTGACCCTGTGAAGAGTGAAGATGAAGAAGAAAAGCCTCAGCTCTCAGAGCGTCGTCACAGCTGGAATATAGAGAGCGCTGGATCAGAGTTTTTGCCTGTGGAAATGAAAGAAGAGTCTTTCTGTGAAAGTTCTAAAGAGGTCCAGAAGCCCCCACATATTAAAGAGGAGCGGGGGGATGTCACAGAGTTTAATTTCATTTCTGCCTTTGTGAAGAGTGAAGGTGAAGAAGAGAAACCACAGCCTTCAGAGCTTCATCACAGCTGGTGTAATGAGATCACAGACTCTGCCAGGTCAGGTCCGGATCAGTATTTAGAAGACAAGACTTTAGACTCATCAGAGACAGATGTCAGTGATGGAGACTGGGAGGAGAGCAACGAACCTCGGTCAGATTTATTTTCTGTGGAAACTAATGAGGTGTCTGTTGGTGACAACAGTCCTAAGTACTCTGTTGAGAAACCTTTCAGCTGCTCCGTCTGTTTCCAGTGTTTCAAATACGGAAAAGTTCTTATTAGTCACAACAATATTCACGACTGCTTAGCTTTCACATGCAATGTCTGTAGCGAAGGTTTTGAACAAAAATCTTTGTTTGTGGAGCACATGAAAATCCACGCTGAAGAGTCACTTTTCAGTTTTTCTTATAACTGACCACGTGTTTTTGAGTATAAATCTACGTATATACTCAAAGATGTTAAACTCAATTTGTAATGGGACATTTACATGAAACAGAACTATTGTGATTTAAAAAAGAATCCACTCAGTGAGGTTAATATAGAAACACTACAGCAGGGAAATCACAAATGTGTTGTTTTATACTGTATTTTGGTTGTACTTACAAGTCTGCTCAATAACATTGATTTAAGTTTCAAGAATGTCATAAGATGTTTTTATCCCTGCACGTGGAATGTACTGTTTTTTTTTAATGTCCCAGTGTCATTCAAGCTGCAGATGAGACTAGAAAACAGGTTACAACTGGTTTCTAATAAGAAGAATAAAGAAAAATGATCAGACTCAGTAACATTTATTAGATATGAAAAATTGGAGGGAGGATACTGTATATACCAAGACATCCAGATGTTTTGTGTAGTTATTACTTGAAGTTGCGCTTATTCGTCTATATATATATATATATATATATATATATATATATATATATATGGATTTTTTTGAGGAAGCAGAGCTCATCTTAGACAAGTCTTGATGCTAAACTAAGCTACGCTAACTGTGCAGCTGGGATTTCCCCATTTACCTCTGCCTTATCTTATATTAGCAGTCAGTCATTTGTCATTACCTTTTATGTTTGAGGCAACTGAAAGTGAGATATAATGCATTTTATAGGCATGTGGTGAATAACTGCAATTAACAAAACATAAAATGTTTTTCCCGTCTAAAATTCTACGTTTTTGGTGAGTGATCTGGGTTTTTTTTTCTTCTTCATGGTTTAATGCAGATATGGAGACTAGTTTCCAGCTCCCAGTGATCCCCTTCATCCTCATGTCCTGACATTGTGTACTCCACTTCCTCCTCATCTCTTTTATATTATATAAATGATTGCTGATGATTAGACAGCCAAGATATCAATTCTCTATACTTACTTTCTGTTTAGTTTTTTTATTCTGATAAATAAAATATTTACTAAACAATTTTTTTATTTTTGTGCTATAGATATCTGAAATGATCATTGATGTAAAAAATCTGAATTTATTCTCTTAGAAATACTGTATCACATTACATACACATAAAGTGTCTCCTTCCCCAAAAATCTGGTGCTGTAGCATTTGAAATACATAAAAATGTCCTAAACAAAGCAGGTAGAAAAAAAACATTTTATTTATTTTTGGTTACTACTTTCAGTCAGAAAATGCACATTCCCTGTATTTTGTTCCACTCATGGGAAATAAAGTTCACAGAGTGAGTCTGCTATATTTTCAATTCATCAGTTAGACTAATGTTTTGATCATTTTGTTAAGAGACAAACCTTTTTGCAAATATGTTGTATGATGGAATGGATATTTTAGGCCTTTAAGAAAGAAATGATTACATATCATATAAACTGTAACAGTGTTTATTCCTGTGAATTGTTTGGTTATTTTCACAAGAATGAGGGATAACCATAACCATGAAAATTGTTTTTGTTGCTGGCTGCATGATTGTGTTGGGTTAGGGCTGTTCCATTGTTTGGGTGATTTGGCTATTGTAAAATGTTGAAAAATGCCAGAAAAAAAACTGCTATGTCATCATGGAGTGTTAAAAAGGCCCATATTAAAGGACAAGATAGGTGCACACAGCATACAAGAATAAATATCATGTGGTTAATCTAAATGGCTGAAAAAGAAAAACACATCTACATGCTAAATAGATGTAGTAAAAGGTATTTAAATGTTTGAAACTGTTGACAACATTGCTTCAGAAAGTGCCCGTAGTGGATTGTAAATTCATACTCTGTGTTTGCTGTTCTGTTTCGCTCGTGAGCGTAATAAACATTTTTCTTCACTGCAGTTCTTCAGTGTCGTTAAAAGATTTTTCAGCAGATTCACTGTTTTTTTTGGAATACAATATTCCACTATAAATACGACTCTGTTCTAGTCTAATCATCAGAACATACAAAATGTTTGTATTTACATTGATTAATGGTTGCACTCTTTTTTTTTTGTTGTTTTAAGACTGGAAAGAAAAAGATATAATGAAAAGTGGAAAAGATATTGGTTTGTCACAATTCAAAAGCAATGCACACACACACATACAAAAAAACAAGCCTTTGTAAATTGAGATCAAAAGCAAAATTTGTTATAAACTGACACAAATCTAAGGTTGTGATTTATTCTTAGGTGAATATTTCAGTGGCTAACAATAGAAAAATATTAATTTAAATAAGAAATAGTGGTTTCATTACTTATTTAAATAACTTCACAATGTCTCTATCTTTACCAGTTCTGCCACTTAAAAAAAAAAAAAAAAACAACGAAATTTGTCCGGATTGAGAAGCTTTTACTTTGAAGGGCAATCGGAAGTATTGACATATCAACATCAGCGCTTTAGTTTTAGCAGCTTCTGCTCAACAAACTTCATCGGTAGTTTTAACCTTCGTGTTTACTCTGAATAAATGTTCAATTAAAAAGCAAAAAACCTTTATTGAAAATAAAATAAAATAAAATGACATCCACCCCAGAGGAGCCCGCCTTACTGTTAGAGACTAGAACTACAGTTGATTAGCTGCAGGCTCAGATATTTTCCCACTTCTACCAGCAGGGGGCGGTAGTCAAACTGCTGTCTCTTCCAGCATCATCAGTCTGCTTCTCCTCCATCATCTTGTGCTGGGAGTCAACGTCCTCAAAACTGGGTTCTTTTGTCTCGTTTGTCCCTAAACCTTACTGCTGACGTCAGGTATTATTATTGTTAACTTCCTTATAATTGTGTTTATTTTGATATGAGCTACAAAAACAGTAAACTTTGACCATCGGTATATTCTGTTTTCCCGTCAGTCTCCGGCTTTAGGCCCGCTGGCTGGCTGCCATGGAGATTAGCATGCTAACACGGCTAGCTAACAGTTCGAGATGCTAAGGTGTAGCCGAAAGATAGGATAAATATGTCCAACCTCGCAAAGACAACATTGGTAAGCTGAAATATTAGACAAAAGTAACAAATATTAGTAAAAGACGAGGCGGCCTCGCAGTTAGTTCTGGGGTTATCAGGGTTTACAGCCCTGAGCATCTCAACATCAGCAGCATTTGAAATGTAAAAAACTAGTAGTTGTTGAATTATTTATTTTTACGTGACACTGTTAAGTCCCGTCACCTCTTTAAATAACAAATAATACAAATACTGAGGATAATCTAACAGTTAGGAGGGTTTGTGTGGTTGACTTACATTTTGTTAGTACATTATACACCTCTCCGTTATTCTGGGCCTGATGAAGACTAAGACATTATTGTTGTGACTTTCTGGTTGCTGTTCACATGTTATCAGTGTGACAAGCTCAGGGCTACAGGGTGAAGTTTGTTTACTGTAGAAAGCTATTTTTAAGTCTCAATTAAATAATAAATAAGGATGAAAGAACAACTAATGCCCAGTGATTTAATACAATTTTTGGAAAACTGATTTAAGTAAATATCTGAAATTTTGACATGTTTGAAATGTCTGATCAAAAAAAAATTGCATTTAAATTGTAATACTTTGATTGAAACTGTCTCACTCTCCCTTCAATAAACTTTTACATTGTACTGCCGACAAAACCATTAAGAAGCCCCCCCTCCCCCCTTTCTTTATATTGAAGCAGAACAAATTATATTTTGTTAGCTTATTCAAATGATTGCAAAAATCAAAACTGCAACTATGAAGGCAGTGAAAACCTTTGGCAAATGTGTGTATTTGCTATCACAATCCTTTTATTCTCCCTCACATTGTTAGAAAACCTTAGAAAATTTTCACTTCCAACTTAGGTTTATTTATTTATTTATTTATTTATTTATTTATTTATTTATTTATTTATTTATTTATATTTACAAAATGCACACACTGATTTAAAACCAATGGCTTAAAGTCAAAACAAAGAATTGTATTAGTGTTTGTTGAGGCTTGTTTGTGGCTTGCCCCGGCAGCATGTCTGATAAAAGTGAACTGAAGGCTGAGCTGGAGCGAAAGAAACAACGCATTGCTCAGATTCGAGAGGAGAAGAAGAGAAAAGAAGAAGAGAAAAAAAAGAAGGATGTGAGTGATTCCGGACCGTTTCCTGAACTGGTGTGTGTGTTTTTTGAGGCGTGGTGATGCTGACCGTGAACGTGCTCTGTAGGGGGACTCGAAGCGTGGGGTTGAGGGAGGCTCCTCCGTGGGTAGCGAAGACTCGGATTTGGAGAGGAAGAGGAGGGAAGCAGAGGCTTTGCTGCAGAGTGTTGGCATCACCCCAGATATGCCTCATGGTAAATGTGTAGTTTTTTTGACGCTCTTACCTCTGCCTAATATCCCATCTCTCTCTGCTCATTTGCTTAATGTATTTTCAAAGGTCTTTCTAACTCTTTTAGACCTAGTTTGTTGTCACTCTCATCGTTCCTCACACTATAAATTATCTACGTATATTACATGTTTTGTGCATGACACCTAAAACCTGCCTGCCATTTATGTTCATTCTCTTTTCTCTCCCCTCCCCTCTCTGTCCTCGTGTGTCCTTACTGCATGAAAACTCATCCACTCACTCACTCACTCACTCATTCACACACCTGTTGCGTACCTCCCTCCCTCCCCTCCAAACAATCACTGTCTCACTCCCCGTGCTCCCTCACTCACTGACCATGGCTCACGCACTGCCAAACACACACAAACACACATACGTGTTCACAGCACAGCCCCTGAGGGTAGTAACAGAGGATACATGTCTGTTTCACTACCTAGTCCCTGCCCCCATGTCTCCCTCCAACAAATCAGTGGGCAGCGATGCAGGAAGCCAGGATTCTGGGGATGGCAACGCCGGACCGAGGTCTGTGTGTGAATGTGTGTGTGTGAAACCAAAAAAACAAGGGGGGTGATGGTTGTTTTAAGTCTATTTTTAATGTTTAGTCAAGTACCTGCATGTAGACTGTGTGTTTTAACTTGGTAATTGTACTTTATTAAATTCTGACCTGTCTCTTTGCCTTTTCACCGCCACGCTGATGTTTATTTTTTTTCAACTAACACGTCGTTCTTGTTCCTGTCTTTTTACTCTCTTTTTTACCTTAACATCTTCTGTGTGCTTCATCTTTTGCCGTTTTTCTTGTTTTCTTTTCCTCTTTCTTTTTGTGTCTCTTGTTTTTTTTTCTTCTGTCCTGTTTCTTTTTTGTTTTGTCGTACTAACACCATCTGATGGTTTGGCTGTATAAGGACTTTGCATTGGGATCCCGACCCCTCTACTCTGCAACTCCACTCCGACTCTGAGCTGATGGGGTACTGCTCCTCCTCTTTCCTTTAGCTTGTCTTCCAACTTTTTGTGGTTTCATCTTAGATGTGTCTAAACGTGTTAGCGCTGTGCCTCCAGTATGTTTGCGCACCATTATATTTATGTCCATACGTGGAGGATTTGAGCAAAAGGTTCAGTTCATTACCCCAAATCTGCCGTCTTATTTCAAATCTGTTTAGACGTGGAGCGGTGAGACTGGGCATGTCCAAACTGACCCAGGTGGATTTCGTCCCGAGGGAAACTGTGTCCTACTCCAAAGAGACACAGACCCCTACAGAGGCATTGTCACACACTGATCAAAAAGCAGGTAAATAAAGATGTATAAATTTTTACAGATTTATTTTCCTTTTGCTGTAACAAAGTTTATATCAAGTAATTTGCCTTTGCGTGTTTCAGATGAAGAAGAGGATGAAGAGATCAGCATTCCTCCACCGACAGAGGACACGCAGGAGGACAAAGATGAACATGGTGAAAAGCAGGAAGATGGTAAGGACTACACACCAGAGATTGGGACTCGAACTTGGACTTGAGTCGCACTTAAGTCTCTACTGTTAGAGACTTGAGACTTGACTTGGACTTGTGGTTTGAGACTTGTGAACAATGCAAGTCTTTTCACTGCCCGGCTCACGATTCTCACTCCCTCAATACACATCCATGCACCGCTCCTTTGAGAACAAATACATAAAGTTTTAAGAGCAAAGACATTTGCTCCTGCTCTCAAATTGAAAATATACGCTCTTGATTAAAGTCAGAAAAATTCTTCCATACACTCCGCTCCCCCTCACCTGAGAATGGGAGGGGTCAGCTCTGTCCAGTGTTAATGAGGCGTACCCTACGTGACAAAGAGAGCTTCAGCATGGCAGGTGTGTTGCAGTAGGCAGCTTCTCTGCCATTCATTATAAGCTTTGCTTACAGAGACTCTTCAACACCATGACAAGAGACTGGCAAAATACAACGTATGTGGAGTCCAAATCCAAAATTTGTTTTTATGATGACTTGTGCAGCACTTTTACTTTAAGGATTTTGGTTCTTCATCTTCACTGACATGCTTTTATGCATTTATAATATTTTTTTCAGGTATTTTATTGTAAAATTAGCAGCAGACTTATTGGATTTGTTCTTTTTCAATGACAAGATATAATTACAGTAAGACTACAAGTGCAAAATACAGTTAGCAATACTCTGATAGATTATTTCAACTTTAAAGGGATCCCCGATTAGTTTGTAACAATAGACTTTATTTGATAAACATGTTTTAACTGTAAAATAAAGATTGTAAAAATACTTTAGGATATTTAGTTTTGTAATTTTTTAAAAATATATTTTAACATGGACGGGGCCATTTTATTTACACACAAAGCATTCTGTGTAAATGATGATGTGGATAGGTCCTCGGTGTGAGCGATGCTAGTGAGCTATATCCAACCTGAAGGTTAATCTTGGATAATATCTGACAATTGGCTCTTTTTAATTAAACCAGACAGCATTGACAGAGAGGAGAAGGTAGAAATGACTCAGCCTGTAACTGAAAATATGGATGGAGG